AACACCAAAGGCAACCCTACACCTCCGTAAAGTTTAAATTTGCAATATGTCAGCCAAACGCTCTTAAAAAATTCCTACCTAGTAATGGTGGGCCACCATTGTCGACCACTAAGAATTTTATCACTTCCTTTTTGCCTTTAAGCTCCACCAGTCCATCATAACTACCAGCCGGATGTATTGCCACACCATTATACGTTTTTAGGATAACGTCTGTGGCTACCAACTCGCCTTTGCCACATAAATTCATAAACCTAGCGAGAGAATACTGTATTCAGAACCAGTGTCCAATTCCATGCAAACAAGAATTTTGTTTAAACGTACTTTTAATCTTATTGGACCATGGTTTACAGTCTGCAGTGCAAATAAATTCATTTCACAATTTTCGACAAACTTTACTTGTACCTCCCTAACCGTACACATTTTTTTCAAATGCCCTCTTTGTTGGCTATTATAACTTTAAAATTTCTATATTTGCATTCTCTACTATTATGGTTCGTCTGTCCACATACCGTACACGGCCTCCGTTGTTGTTGCTGCACGCTCGCTGTCTGCCTTTGGCTCTGCTGTCCACGTTGTTCATGTCTCTGCTGCTGCGCTTGCCGCTGCGTATTCCTCTGCTGCTGCGGCGGCGGTTGCTGCTGTACTTTTTGCCCTTGCTATGTACATAGGTAAACGTTTCTTGCGGTTCTTGTTTGATAGCGCCGCCGAAATGTTGAGTATATATGTACTCGGTCGTGTTCGCGATATCTACCGCCTTCTTGAAACCACACGCTAACGTCTCCAATTTAATCGCGGGCCGGACCTTTCTCCAAGCCCATGATGACTCTGTTTCTAAGTGCGTCATCCAAACACGCACCAAATTCGCAATTTAATGACAAAGACCTCACTCGCACGGCCCAATAATTTATGGACTCTATGGCTGTTTTCTTTGCGTTATAAAATTTATAGCGCTCTGCAGAAGCGGACGCCGGCGTCTTGAAATGTGCATCCGTAACATCTACACAACTCTTGAAGGTCGTAGTTGGCTCGTTCACATTTGCGGACACATTAGGTTTTGCAGGAGTACATAGAAACCGTCGCCGATTAACGTTAGAAAAAATTGCCTTTTTCCTCTTGTCATCCGTAATTTCATGCGCAATAAAGAACTGGTTGATTTGTTGATGAAACACATTCCAGTCGTTATCTTCGTGCCGAAAATGTGGCACACTCCCAATGATTTGTGCGGCCATTTATATTACAGTCTGCTTTTGTGGTTCGTTTCTTAGCTCGTTGCCACTGTAACGTTCTTTATTGTTTGACATTGCCTACAGACTAAAACTTATAAGTAAATGTACTTCAAAAGGGAGTCGGCATACAGTTTCATACAACGCCATAAGTGTATATGTTACAAAAGTATAATGCAGCGTTTTTTCTGCATTTAAAATGCAACATTTAGCACTTTCGAACATGTGTTTTCGAAGAGCGTTCATGCTACCGCATTTAGTAAATGTACATTTACGCCAGTTCGAAATCATATGCTTTTGACAAACAGCCGTGTTCCAGTCGCTTACTCAGATCCGTATCTATTAGGATCAATTCTCACGCAGAAGATAATGCGCTAAAAACCCTACTGAAAAGGAAAAAATAAATTTTAAACCAAAAATTCAATACAAAAGTTTGACTTGTTTTATCCATAACCGAACATTTGTTTGTGTATATATTCATTTGTCGGTACGGTCAATTAAAATTTCCTCACCTAATTAGGAAACAAAACAAACAGAGTTGATCACAAATTGATCCAGATTTCTATCAGCATCACATCGATGTTGAATTTTCTTCTTTATCCAAATAATGTAAAATAATAAATGAAATCTTGACCGGCGATCACTGAAACGCAGCTAGCAACTGTATACTCGAAAAAGGAATGTTGCCACTTTTTCTCATTAAACCATGTTCGAATCGTGGAAATTTTGGAAAATCACAGGGTTGCTTTTAGCATTTACATTCTTAATGCAAATTGCATTTAAGTGACGAATTGTGTGTGGATAAATGTACATTTAGGCTATCTGCACACTTGTCGTCCAATCATAGTTGCGTTATCGTCTCGCCCTGAAGTTTTGGGCCGAGCATATGCATTTCAAAGGGGATCTGCACACTTGTCGTTATCGGCTAGTTATCGGCAAATCGTAGAAGATGCAGAAACGGATAAGAACGGTACTGTCGTTTGGTAATCGTTGTGCACGCATTGTTTGTTTACATTTTATGGGGAAAAATTTGTGAAAAAGTTAATATTTGCATTAAAATTGCATAAAAATTAGTGTCTTTGGCATAAAATCTGTCGACATAATTAAAAAGTGGATAATTGCAATAAAATTCAAGAAATGTGAGTGTTTTAACTATAAAACATGACGAAATTGTAAAAAGTCTCTGTGTGCATGCACAAAATACATTTCAGGAAAAGAAAATAAGAGATATTACTGAAAAGTTATGTCTAGAATTGTTACAGCACAGCCCATATTTTAAAAATTGCAGGTTTTTGTAAATATTTCGCGAAAATATCAATCAGAAAAACAGAAAATACCTGCTCCTGGTAAATTTTTAGGCGCCAAATGAATTGAAATATCACGACCGAGTGTGGGAAAATGTAGTCGCCATGTAATCGTTGCATCATGTTTTTGACGATGACCTAACTATGATTGGACGAACAATGTGCAGAAAGCCTTAGGGCCGGTTACTCAATGTCTGGTTAACACTAATCTCCGGTTAAACATAGTTATCGACGTTACCGACTCCCTGTTATATGCATGGAGTCGAAGTCGTCGATAACGATGTTTAACCGCAGATTAGTGTTAACCAGACATTGAGTAACCGGCCCTTAGAGTTAAATGCGCTAAATGTGCTTTTACGCATAAGCAAAAACAGCCCATAAGAGTGACCATAGCCATAGATTACCATGTATACGTTCAACTCATGAACCAAAAATACAAGATCACGTAAGAACGCGACGTTGTATTTGTAACTGGTTTTGAGAAAAAAGTTTGCGAAAGCGGGTTCGTCAGCTGAGCGTTTGTTTACATCACAAGCACCACTATTTTACACTTTTATTCAAGTAAAGAAGAGTTAATTCAACATGACAACACATTTTAAAGCATTTTGTTGCATAATTTTACCTAAATTGTGCGTTTAAATTGGCAGACAATAATTTTTGCTAATTTTGGTTTTCGTTGTTTTCGGGAAAATTTTAGTTTGGCATCCCCCGCGTACAAAAAAAAGGTGGGTATGGGGGGGTAGGGGGAGTTCTCCTGATTGCAAAT